TATCAGGGCCCAGTGCCCAAGGCAGAAATACAATGTCAAAGAACTGCAGATTCAGGGGTCGCAAGGTCTCCAAACCCGCTTCATGGGGTGGAGCCCCTCCCCTGTAGAAAAACCACAGTCTTCCTAAAGGAAACACTACCAAATCCCCGATACCCGCTTTCCTAAAACACCGCAACGAAAATCCTAATTAGGGTTTTAATGAATTTCTAAAGCCGAAGCATTCATAAAGAACACCACAACAAAATTCCTAATTAAGTCAGAAGTCCCAATACTCACCCTAACCCTAAAGAACGCAAAAATTCCTAAATTATACGTTAAAACTTAAAACAATTTGTATTTATTGCCTAGAGCGGCAATTGTAATTCCAATACACCATCATATGAAAACACTTTTAGAAAAAGACAGATGAAAATTCAAACTAAGACCTACACTAAGAAAGGAAATTAACAGGAAAAAATGAAGAAGCTCTACTATGAATGGACTAAGACCTACCCTAAGAAAGGAAATTAACAGGAAAAAATGAAGAAGCTCTACTATGAACGGGAAGAGTATCAGTGACAAAAAAAATGAAAATCCAAAGTCTATTAACCTCATAAGATGAAACAAAATGTCAAGACCACTTGTCTTCAGCAAATCAGCACATGGCTTTCCTTGACAATTAGCAAGACGTACGGGAAACCATAATTCCCTGGCCAAGCGACTCAGCATACAAGAAACCCAATCCGTGCTAATCAAGAAAGGTCACAGCCGTCTCGATGGAAAAACCTTGGTAGTATCTATGTGTTGTTGAGAAATAAAGCTCCATATCTGAGATCAGCCGCGCCACTCGTCTTCAGCAAGTCAGCACATAGTTTTCCTTGGCAGAGGAACAAGACGTACGGGAAACCACAATTCCCCTGGCCAAGCGACTCAGCGTACGGGAAACCCAGTCCGTGCTAATCAAGGAAGCTCACAGCTGTATCGATGGAAAGAAAAACTTTGGCAATATCAATATGTTATTGAAAAATAAAGCTCCATATCTGAGACCAGCAGCGCCAATCGCGCTCTGATCTTGGTTGCATGCAGCGTATAACAGGAGAGATGCACCAGCGCTCCAAGTCTCCATTTATCACACACAACGCGCCACACCCACCGCCAGCAGGCACTCCTCCTCGGGGCATGCCGGACAAGCTCCACATCCACAACGCATAGACATGGTTGCCGTGGGCCACTAGAGCCGACTAGGTATGGTGGCCTTAGCCTGGGCAAAACCCTAGCTCTAGCGCCAGCAACTTCGGGCACTCAGCGCTAGGTCACTTAGCGACGCGCCGCTGCTAGTGTCTCCCCTGGCGGTGCGTTAGCGCTGCGTTACGGCAACACTAACTCCATCCGTGGTGAGCTGCACGTGCTGGGAACCGGGCCCAGCGTCCCATATGAAATTACGAGCACTGAATTACCGTGACCGATACTCGGCTTCACCTGACAAAATCTAAGAACAAACCAAGAAATTCTAAAAAAAAACTGAATAAACTACCAGCCTGTTAAAACCAGCTACTCATGAGAAAAACCTCTTTCTCCGAACAAGCTGCGAAAATTAAGAAACCATCCTCCCACTTCCCTACAACCCCCCTACTCTTCATCATCTTCCGACGAGCCGACCTCCTCCACCACATAGCTCAGAAGATTAAAAAAAAACAGTAGGCAAGCAACCTCACCGAATCCCATAATGGTTTCTGTTTTTTTTTTTTTTTTTTTGAATGTCATAGATGTATTTCAAATCAATGAAAAGTATCGTGGCCGGGGTCCCCACAATTCTACCCGGTGATCTTTGAGCCCATCCTTATCGATGCTGTGCTGGAAACCGGGTCCAGCGTCCCATCTACTAACCGAAACTGAAGAGTAGATATTAGGCACTGATGTCTGAATCCTTTCGAAGATCCGACTGTGCTGGAAACCGGGTCCAGTTTCCCAACTACTCACTGAGAGCTGAAGAGTAGGTCCTAGGCCTTGATGTCTGAATCCTTTCCTAGCTCTGACTGGGCTGGAAACCGGATCCAGCGTCCCTTCCACTCACTGCGACTGAAGAGGCACCCTCTCAGCTAGCCCTGTCTGAATTAGCCTTCAAACCTAGGCGGTCCACAAAAGTTCTATTCTACTTTAGTGAGTGTGTAGGACCTCGGCCTTCCGTTCCGGCCAGAGCCAGATCGAGATTAACAACTTACCATGTTCACTGATGGTCGCGAGGTAGCCATTGGTACACCAGGTCTTCTGGAACCAGAGTGTCCCGTTGGCTCTTGAGGCTGCTTGGTGGACTCTTCGGTGCCAATCTGCCCAAATGGTTCTGCGAATGTTTGCGCGGATTGCGGATTTCAGCGCCGGGAAGGTTGCTTTCTCCCATCTGAAAACTGCTGCATTCCGACTCAACCAGATTTCCCAGCAGATGATTCCTCTGACTGTCTGAGCTATATAGCCAGGTCCTTCGTCAAGCTTGCAATCTGCTGGCACCATTCCTAGTAGTATCCATTCTTCTGTCCAGTTGAGGTTGTTGCTATTAATCATCCTCCAGTTATATGGCCACCAACCCCAGATGCTGGCTGAGAGGGGGCATGTGATCCACAAATGATGTGTGGATTCCCACGCCCAATCACAGCGGGAGCATTTGGGTTGCATTCTTACATTCTTTTCTATTAGCCAGACTGCCGAAGGGACCACCTGCAGCATCTGCAACCAAAGCAGGCTGGCTTGCTTTTGTGATGGCAATATTCGCACAGTTGAGCCCCGTATCTGGATGCGTCTGCAGGTTGCTTGTGAACTGCCCGTGCATGCTCCGTTGAGTCTTTCCGATGGTAGCTGGGTAGGTGACTTGTACTTCCTTGTTTGAATGGATGTAAGCCCTGTTTTTGCAGTGTACTGATCCAGGGTAGCATGCCTCCCTCTGTTATCAGTCCATCGTGCACAAAGTGGGTCCAGTTTCTGGACCATAATTGGCTGGAGTCGTGAGTGAGTCGTCAAGATTTTCTTCCCGGATTGGAGGGATTAGGTAACTCTGACTTCTGCTGCTGTCCAGCGGGCTGGCCAGTTGAAACTTTCCTTAAATGTCAGGGATAAGAGGTTATCCTTAC